CCCAAACTTGAAGCTACATAGCAGTATTCGCAACGTTGAGTCTAGAACAGCCTTTATCAACATATCTCCAGTCAAATGGCTTCGGTAAATCCTCTACCTATTAGGGTAAGTGATAGGACTTTCCATCTATCCATTCCTATAAATGGCTCATCTATAGATGCTTTCATTATTTAGCACTGAAAATGTGCTAGTGCCATCAAAACATACTTTATACTCTGGATTCCAGGGGAGAGTGTCATCTTTATGTACTAGATTTAAACAAAATTAAATGAAAGTTTCTACCCTTCGGTCTAAATCCCACTGTAAACCACTCCATATTTTCTCTCATCAACATCCTAGCTCATTTATCACCTTGCTCTTCATACCCAACCTAAAAGCTTTGAGTTATTTCTTACTCCATTCCTGCACCACCTGTTCACACTGGCTGAGGAAATGAACTCTAAAGACAAAGCTACTTCTGTTGAACCCTCTAAGCATTAGCCCTTTACTCAGCACTTTTCCACAATCCCCATTTTCATTAATATTATCCAGCCATCCCAGACACATACATTTGTCTTCTTTTTAACAACCACTACTATCACAAGTATCAATAAAATAAAATAAGAACTTCCTCAGTGCGTAGCTTGTAGCCATAAGCTTAGTAGTGCTCTTGCCCCAGGTTAGACTTCTCTGGAGCTCAAAGCATTCTGGCCTCATCAAGATTCTACTCAGTTTTCATGTTCCCTTTATGGCATCTGCTTTTGCCACTCACTAGCTCTGTCTTGTCAGCACATGTAAATAATTTTATGTCCATGTAAAACTGCTCTCCCTTGCTCCTATCTCTTTCTCCCAGTAGTATTTCAGATCTCCTCTGCTCAGTGAAGCTTTCTGAAAGGACGTCAAAACTACAAACTTCACCAAGGCAGAAAATATGACTGCTTTTCTCCTTTCTGACTTCTGTCTAGAATAATTCTTAGAAAGTCTTCAATAGGTTTAGTAGTGCTTCAACAGGCACTTTAAGAAAAGGATATTTGATGGCCAAGAAACATATGGAGGAACAGCTCAATGTTATTAACCATCAGAAAAAGAAAAAAAGACAAGATTTCATCTTTAAATAACCATCAGATGATCAAGATGAGAAAAATGAATGTACCACAGCTGGGGACAGTTGGGCTCCAGATGCGTTACTGGAAGGAGCAACAGCTGGCACACCCACTTTCAAAAGGCAAGTGCCAAAAACTACTCGAGTTGAATACACAGATTCCTAATCCAGAAACTCCACTCCTAGCTATACTCAAAAAAATCCATAGAAACACCATTTGTCAGAGCCAAAACCAAAAATAACACAAACTCATCAATAGTAGAGTGAGTAGATTACATCCATACAATGGAATTTAACACAGCAATGAGAAGGAATGCTTGTTACCTACAACAACATGAATTAATCTAACACATTATTGAGTGAAACAAACCAGACACAAAAGATAAAAGTGTATCACCTCCTATATAGACACTAAAAAATAAGCAAAACTAAGACAGTATGAATCAGGATGATAGTAACCTTATTGAGACTGGAAAGGATCAGGAAACATGATATTAAAATATTGATAACATTCTGGCTTTTGACAAATCTGCTGTTTGGTTTTTATGAACGTTCATCAAATTGACTACATTCTTTTCTATCGCACACATGCGTGCATGGCACACGCACACACGCACACACACACCTGGATATATCAGTTTTCCCCTGATCCTCTCCTTATTCAAAAAGGGATACTGGATTCACTTCTCAGTCTATGGAAACTCTAAGATCCTTGAAGACCAGGGCTTCCTTCATTAATGAACAGGGCCCAGGACACATATACTCACAGAAAATGATTCTAAATGAATCAATGAGCCTGTCAACTCAGTCCATCAATCAGCTTTGTCTCTTATGCTGTTAATTCTAAATTCTGCATTTTTAGCCACTTTGCTGGGCTCCAAGTGGTAGCTTTTTCTTTAAGAACCTCCAGTGATAGTCAACTGTTTTTTTTACTAGAGAATATCTTTAAATCAGGAACTTCATAATGATTATTTCCTTCACTTATTACAATCAGACTGTAAAAGTTAGTAATTATTATTTTCTTTTTACAAACTAGGAAACCAAGGATCCCAAAGAGTAATATACATACCAACACATAGGGGAAAAGCCAGAGAAATAAACTTGAAACTCAAGTCTTTCTAATCCCAAATCTAGATATCACATGACCATTAATTCAACAAATATAAAATCTACATCATTGCTTTTCTCAAAGGCCTACTCCTGATAATCATTCTGGGCAATGTCGTCACTATCCACCTTATCACCCAAGCTGTAGGCCCGGGGTCTGCTTTCTCTCCTTTCACCCTTCAAACTGATTCAATCACACAGCTCATACAGCACTGTTTCCCAAGCTGGAGAATCTATTTCCTGTATACTATTCTTTTTCTTTTGAAGGTAGCCATAACTGCATATACACTATGTCTTCCAAATCCAGTCTGCATTTTCTCTCATTTATTCTGCTGCTTACAAGATTTGCATAAAATGCAAATCCAAGAGCATGACTCTCTTCCTTGTCTACAGGATAGAGAACATACCACCAGAGTATACTGTGCTTAAACTGGTTGAAGCCAAGCACTCTAGATCCTTTCCTTATGCGCTACCCTTTCTTCACCCACCCTGTAATCCAGCCATGTGAAGATTTACTGCCCACTCAGGAAAACAACTTGCTTTTTCCCCTGTATCCAGCCTCTGTGTGACAGGGCTTTATCTTTCTGGAATTCCCTACCCCTTACTGCCTATCAAATCCTGCCCCCCTCCCTCTTCCCCTGTCCTGCAAGATGCAGGCTCAAGCATTCACTCCTCTATGAAACCCCTCAAGCAAAGCTGGGCCATGGCTTCCAGGTCACAACTCTGCTCAGCACATCCTCCTCAAATCACTCACTTCACAAAGCACCCCTGACTTGCTACAATGTAAAGCCTTCCCTTCACACCACCAGCTCTCACAGAGACCTAAGCCTGTTGATTTTTACATGCTCAGGCCAGTAGCCAACAGTTAAGTCACAGATATTCAAACAAGTGAATTAACAAGTGAATTCAATGCTACATGAATAAACTATATATGTACGAGTCATTTTAGTTGCTGACAATTTTTGAAGCAAATCCAAAATTAATGTTCCAAGTGGAACTTCCTCTTTGTGGACTTTACTAAAGAATAGCTCAGAGTACTAGCTGAAACTGGTGTGTAAATGGTGTACACGTGTCCTCTCTTTCTCTCTCTCCCTCTCTCCTTCTCTCTCTCTCTCTCTCTCTCTCTCTCTCTCTCTCTCTCTCTCTCTCTCTCTCTCTCTCTCTCCAGCCTGATAAAAGGAAAAAATAAAGACTCATATGAAATAGGGTTAGTTCTTTGATCCCTAATGCCTAAACCCAGGGATAAAGTCTCAACCTCAAATTTTAGGTGGACCATGGTCAAAATATTATCCAAATGTATTCTCAGAGTAACTAGGAGAGAGAAGACTCTTCTGTTTATCTCCTGGGTCAAATGAACCAGAACAAAACAAAAAAAGTTATTTTTCAGGTTGTTTTAGTATTTCTATGATGCGGGACATGTAAATGAGAAGCAGCAATGCTGTCTTTCATAATAAAGAAAGCAAAGGGTTACAGGATTGCCAGAGATGAATGTGGCTTTGGAGCACGGGGAGAGAAGAAACAACTGAAAGTTAAACCCAGAGGCTGAGAGGCATAGGCAACACTATTCACCTACTACTCACTTCACAACCACAGGGCGCTGGAATAGCAGGCAGGACAGCAGAGGACAGACCTATAGATGGTGCCCCTCCCACAGAGCAGAGAGCAGACTGCAGCATTCACCAGCCCCCTACACTTAGTATGTGAAGGCTACAATTTACCAGCTCTCCCTGGAATGAGACTATGGAAAGTGGCAGTCAGATGTCCCCTAGGGACCCCAGAAAACCAGTAACTATTCTGACATTCCGAGAAGAGAGGAAAAGAGGTTTTTTTTCTCACAATAACATTTCTGAATTGCCTTTTCTTGCTTCCTGGCTAAAGAGAGAGGAGAGGTAGGTGATTGGTGGCCAGGAATAAGAGACAGGACAGCTGACAAGGACTCTAATCAGTGTTTCTTCAACGAAGGCCTGAGTCTAGTACACATATAAAACCATGTGGGGAAGGTTGGGGGAATGGGTATCTTCCCCCGACCATTCTCTCCCAACTCTGTGCTTTGAATGCATTTATGTACACACACCCCCTATCAGACTACGTTCTTGATGCTGCCTTGGAGCCAACACCTCTGTGGTTTGGATGGAAGGATCCCACAGCTTTTATATTTCTAATAGCAGAGGTAAGAATTACTGCATGTTATTAATTCTACTTCCACTTCCGATTTTCAGTTGTCATTTTGTTCTGTATGAACTCTGTTTGTTTAACTTACTCTGTATAAGATTCCTACAATAGAAGCTGGCAAACTGATTGTTTCGGCAATATCCAAACTTGAACCCATTAAGATCTGGGAACCTCCCCCATCTCTGCTCTTTCAGACACAAATGCTTCTGGCCTTATCATATCTAGGGTTTAAGAGAGGTGCAAAATATAAATCAATCCATTTAACAGAAATACTGTGAAACATAAACAATAACTAGCACTTGTTTTCTCTAGCATGATACATGATAATTTATTTATACTTATAATTAATTCTCAAATAGACTTCCAGAATCAAAATTCAACCTAGAATACTTGTACAGATGTAGACATACTTCTGCAAGTTCCTCTTGGATCTCTTGTCCAAGCTCAGCTATTGCCTACTGTTTAGGAATTAAATAAGAGAAGCTTTTGAAAGGAAGAGAAAGTGATCATGATATCCTAGCATAAACTCAGTATCTTTGCCACCTCTCTTTTGGGGATTCTGTATCTCCTAGGAAAATGACAATTTGGTTTCTGTAAAACAAATACAAAGGAATTAAAGAAAACAACTTTGATGTCCTACCTGCAAATCTGCTTTCGGTCCTAGTCACACGTTCTCATAATCTTGAGTCTCAATTTCTCAGGTAAATTCACCAATCTGCTGACAAGAAGTTTCATATTATCACTTCTCCGCCCACAGTACATATATTAAAACATGACTGAAAATGGCCTTCATGTTAGCCAGAGCTGCAAAACTGAATCTCTCAATTCAAAATATAAGAGTGTAAGAGTGAGGAGGGAGAGGTAAATGGGTAGGTGACACAGGTGGGAATATAGTACCAGAGTGCTCAGCAAAATAAAAATTTTATACTCGAAAACAGTTCATGAGCAACAAAATAAGCAGTGATAGCACTGGATGGTAACCAAAAGAATAAAATGAATACCATGAGTCTATACTGAAATCAATCAGTAAAATATATATTCTGTCTGCTCAAGAGATAAAGCAGAATTCTTCTCCCTCTAAGAATTAAATATAGAAAGAATACACAGAGGCAAGAAGTAATTTTACAGTGGAACGCCCTGGTCAACCCTAACCAAGTGATCAGTTTATGGGACCAGTGATAACGGATGGTGTTATGACATTTCTCCTAAAGAAGGCATCCCCCCTCAAGTTGAGTACTTCATCTGTATAAATTTCTGCACCAAAAACTCAAGTCTACAGAATTTCTGACAGGAAAATGGAAGGAAAATAAGGGAGAGAAAAACAAATGTTCGACGAGAAATGTACTCATTACCTTACGTAACTCTAACCCCTCTGTACATGATCTTGACAATGAAATTAAATTTAAAAAACAAAATAAAAACAAATAGTCTTCAAAAATGTTAATCCTCTATGGAACAAGGAGACTATGCAACATATACACTATGTTATTTGCCACACTGTTTTGTATTATATATTCACATACATGGCCTTACTGAATATTTTTTAAAGTGACTAGCTAAGGTATTCTAAATGAACTTCTCAAGCAAATCAAATTCTTTTATACCTATTAACCAACCTTAAAGGAGACTAACTTTTTTCAGTGCTGATTTTTATTTGCACAATAATTTTTCCTTCTCTGAATTTAATGCTACCAGAGTGACATCTTCAACTGTTACTCCAGTTTGTGTGTGTGTGTGTGTGTGTGTGTGTGTGTGTGTGTGTGTGTGTGTGTGTGTGTGTGTGTGTGTGT